GGTCTGGTCTGGTTTGAGATGGTTTTTGTCTCTATATCAAGATGTTAACGTCTGTCAGTGATGGGTCTGGTCTGGTTTGAGATGGTTTTTGTCTCTATATCAAGATGTTAACGTCTGTCAGTGACGGGTCGGGGTTGGTCTGGTCTGGTTTGAGATGGTTTTCGTCTCTATCAAGATGTTAACGTCTGTCAGTGACGGGTTGGTCTGGTCTGGTTTGAGATGGTTTTTGTCTCTATATCATGATGTTAACGTCCGTCAGTGGTGGTTTATGGTCGGTCTGGTTTGATATCTGAGTCTCAGGACAGGAAGTAGAACGTCCCTCTGAAGCGGTCTGTCTCTGAGCAAACGCATGAAATATTAATCATAAATCTGTCAGATCCCTCTGGGTTTATGATGTCTGTTAGTGAAACTGAAGCTGGAGCGTCACATCCAAACCACACACTCACTGACTTTATCTATTATTTACAACGTCATATGATTTTTGTTTTAATCTTCAGTGAAATATATTTTAAAGGGATGGGTTCTCCAGAAATATGTCATGCATCTTGTCGTTTCAAACTTGTGTGACACAAAAGAAGATATTTTGAAGAACATTGGGGCCAAACAACTTAGGACCCCATTGACTTCCACTGCTTGGACATTCCTCTAAAAAGCTTATTTTGTGATTCACAGAAACTCATACAAGCTTGAGCGACATGATGTAGAGTAAATGATGACAGAATGGTATTTTCTGATTGAATGAGACTTTTGTCCCTTGATATTGTAAATCTTAACTGAGGCTCTTGTATTCTGTCTGAAGTGGTGTTTATCAGCTGAATTCACAATTCATCTGTCACTGATTTTATGCTGAATTATTAATGCCGTTCCTGTTTATGTGTATCACACTTTTTATAACACATTGTTTCAAAACAGCTAATATTTTTGTGCTCAAGCATTAAATACATACATTTCCTTAAATGTCATAATAATAAAACAGCTTACAAATGAGGAATATAACAAGCCATTAGGATTTGAATAGTCACATTTCATTTATGCATGTTTCGTTTAATTTTCTTCTTTTACATGATATTGTATATTTGTGTAACAGACAGTGCTTTGGTTCACTCTGTGGTTCGTGATCGAGTGTTGACTGGAGTTTGTCTTTCTCTAGTGGTCATGTTGAGGGTTTGCGCTCTGCTGCTGCTGGCGGCTCTCGGCTCCTACTCGGACACACAGAGACCCCGACACGACTCCAACCTGGAGATCTGTATCCTCCTCAGACACGAGTGTGTGTCTGTGTGTGTGTGTGTGTGTGTGTGTGTGTGTGAGAGAGTGTGTCGTTCTCCTGAACGTCTCCTCAGATAAGCATCTGTTCGAGACCAAGAGGAAGGATCAGCTGAATGCGCTGAAGAACCTGGTGGAGCTCAGCGACGTCAACCAGCAGTACAAGATCATCGACATAATGCTGAAGGGCCTCTTCAAGGTGTGTGTGTGTGAAACACTCAGTGTGATGGAGCTGATCTGATGGAGTCTGATTCGAGTGTGTGTGTGTTCAGGTGCTGGAGGACTCCAGAGCCGTTCTTAAAGCCGCTAACCTGCAGCCAGACGATCCGTTCCCACTCGACGACAAAATCAAAGAAGGTGAGCGACTCTCACTTCAGCACCCTTCATATCAGACATCTAAGTGAGTGTGAGAGAGTGAGTGTGAGTGAATGTGAGTGTGCGTGTGTGTGTGTGTGTGTGTGTGTGTGTGTGTGTGTGTGTGTGAGTGAGTGAGTGAGTGAGTATGTTTGTGTGTTAGGGGTGCTCCGATTGATCGGCAGTCTCTAAAACTCTAAAATAAAAAAAACGCTGCTGTGAGAAGTTTTGGCACGACATGCAGTGAGAGAGTGAGTGTGAGTGAATGTGAGTGTGCGTGTGTGTGTGTGTGTGTGTGTGTGTGTGTGTGTGTGTGTGAGTGAGTGAGTGAGTGAGTGAGTGAGTGAGTGAGTATGTTTGTGTGTTAGGGGTGCTCCGATTGATCGGCAGTCTCTAAAAGGCTGATCTAAAAAAAACGCTGCTGTGAGAAGTTTTGGCACGACATGCAGCGGCACCGTCTCAATCTCTGTCCGGCATGGGTGAAATAATTATAATGCCTTCATATTTCTTCATTAAATAACTTGCAAAGTAATTTGAAAACCTTGTGTGAGACGTAATTTCACAAACAGCGTGAATCACCATGCGCGCGCTCTCTCTCTCTTTCTCTCTCAAAATACATGGCTTCAAATCACCACACATCGCGTCTGTCTGTAAGCGAGCTGCACAGTTGACACAGGAATTGTCACTTGCACAACCGAGGCAGTGTCACATCTTCACTAAAGTTTATACAAGTAAAGTAAAGTTTTTGCATTACTTTTAATTCTTGTCTAGTGTTTAACCGTTCTTGCCTGTGTGTCTACTCCTGTAGACACACACCTTCCAAAAAGTTCAACTTTTGTCTCATCAATCCACAGAATATTTGCCCAAAAGTCTTGGGGATAATCAAGATATTTTTGGGCAAATGAGAGACGAGCCTTTGTGTTCTTTTTGGTCAGCAGTGGCTTTTGCCTTTGAACTCTCCCATGGATGCCGTTTTTGCCCAGTCTCTTTCTTATTGTTGAATCATGAACACTGATCTTAATTGAGGCAAGTGAGGCCTGCAGTTCTTTAGATGTTGTTCTGGGTTCTTTTATGACGGATAGTGGTCCTGACAGAAATTACATAAAAAGTCAAAATCCTGAGATACAATGGGCCTCATTTATCAATCTAACGTAGAAACGAGCGCATCATGACTTAAAATTTTTGTTAATGGTCACTTTTTGTTAGTTTTTTTTTTTTACTTATATACAGTGTGTATATATATATATATATATATAATTTTTTTTTTTTTTAATTGAGTGTCATATTTTTGACTGTCATAATTTGGACTTTTTCTCATAATTACACAATTGTCCATTTGACTTTTAATCCCATTTTCATGTTTTAATTTAAACTTTTTTATAATTGTATACTATATGAAATGTCAATCTTATCATAATTACAAAATTAAGGTAAAAAATCTTGAAATCATGATGAACAGTCACAGTTGACACAAAAATCTATTTGAACTATTTTTTTTCCATGTCATAATTTCAACTTTTACTACATAACTATGTTTTATCTCACAAGTATAACGTTGTGTCATCATTTTGACTCATAAGTGACCTTTTTGTCTCAATTTCGATTTTTAATCTCATAAATTCATCTTTTTATATCATTTTTTATATATCATAGTTATAATTTTAGCTTTAAAATGTCATATTTTCAATACATGAATGATAAATCATAATCATTAAATTTTATGATAAAAAGTCCAACAGTCACAGCTTGTCAATGTTTCACTTTGTCATAATTTTGAATTTCATAATTAAAAATTGTTTCCTCATAATTTATCTTTTTTTTCTCATAACTGTTGACTTTTTCCAATTTTGACCTTTTAATCTGAAGTCACAATTTAAACAACTTCTTATAATTTAAATGTCATAATTTTGAATTCATATGTGATAAATCATAAGTATATAAAATGTAGGATGTCACAATGTAAGTTTTTGTCAGTTTAAATTTTCTAATTATTCAGATAATTATCGCATAACTATAACTTAATGTTAGAATTTAGACTTTTTCCATAAGTACGAGTTCTTGTCATAATTTCAGTTTTTTTTTTTTTTTACTTATGAAATATTGAAATTTAATTTTTTTGTTTCATAATTTTGATTTGTCCATTTTGAATTTCACAATTTCAATTCATGTCATAATTTAGACATTTTATCTCAAAATATGACTCTTTAATCTCATAACTGAGTTTTGTAATGTGGCATAAGTAGGCTTTCATACAAACCACTTTTAATCCGTTCAAGTTTATTTCTATAGCACTGTATACAGTAGAGACACTTCACAGCAGCTTTAGAGAAACAGAAGCACATCACCGTCACAAGCTTCTTCAGGTTCAGCCAGCAGTAGTTTCTGCAGCAGATGATCTGTCACTGTTAAAGTGAGTTGAGTTCAGAGTCTGTGTGTTCCTCTAGCCTACTCTCACGTGGTGGAGAACACGGCGTTCTTCGGAGACGTGGCTCTGCGTTTCCCGCGCATCGTCCATCACTACTACGATCAGAACGTGGACTGGAGTGGCCTGCTGCGCTGGGGTCTGCGCTTCTGCAACCAGACGGGCGTCTTCAGCGGAGGAGCCCATCAGCACGTGCTCACGCTGGTCAGACTGAGGCATCATGGGATTATCATCATAGTCATCATCACAGGAAGTAGACCGAAGCACGGTAAATGAGCTTTAACGCTGTGTGTGCTTTTGCTGCAGATGTCACAGGAGCTGGGGATCACTGAGAAATCTGCAGACTTCGTCAACCCGTATCGCACCGAACGAGACGACGTGAGTCACACACACACACACACGTATAGAGAGAGAGATGTTTATTATAATAGATGCAGTGTTTCTTATGTGCACTGCATTGTGTTATTAAATTAGAGACTGTAATTTTACATTATATTAGTAAAACATTAACTGAAAAAAAGATATATACAGTGGGTACGGAAAGTATTCAGACCCCCTTAAATTTTTCACTCTTTGTTATATTGCAGCCATTTGCTAAAATCATTTAAGTTCATTTTTTTCCTCATTAATGTACACACAGCACCCCATATTGACAGAAAAACACAGAATTGTTGACATTTTGGCAGATTTATTAAAAAAGAAAAACTGAAATATCACATGGTCCTAAGTATTCAGACCCTTTGCTGTGACACTCATGAATACTTTCCGTACCCACTGTGTATATATATATATATATAATGAGTAAAGTATACAGTAAACCTGTATAGATATTTTAAAAAATATATATATATTACTAAAATTTTCACAATTAAAATACTAATTCAGTAAAACTATTTCAACCTAATAAAAACTTGCTGTTATTTACTGTAAATGTTCATTTAAAAATAAATGTTAATGCATTTTATTCTTTCTTAACACAAACCTTTCAATACCTATGATTCATGTTTAGCGACTGAAACTATCATAATACTGTTTTAAATCTGCTGTGTAATAGCTGATATAAACACCTGTTTATTTGTGTAATGCATCAAGTCAAATCTACAGTATCACCAATGGTCCTTATTAAAACATTGAAGGAGTAAAGTATACAGTAAACCTGTATAGATATTTTAAAATATATATATATATTACTAAAATTTTCACAATTAAAATACTAATTCAGTAAAACTATTTCAACCTAATAAAAACTTGCTGTTATTTACTGTAAATGTTCATTTAAAAATAAATGTTAATGCATTTTATTCTTTCTTAACACAAACCTTTCAATACCTATGATTCATGTTTAGCGACTGAAACTATCATAATACTGTTTTAAATCTGCTGTGTAATAGCTGATATAAACACCTGTTTATTTGTGTAATGCATCAAGTCAAATCTACAGTATCACCAATGGTCCTTATTAAAACATTGAAGGATTTACTGGACTAAATCGGTGTAATTTTGGCCTGTAATGTGTAGCTGGAGCCAGTAGAGCTTAAACTCAGACTGTGTTTGATTTCAGTTTACAGAGACTTCTGCTTGTCTTGTCATTGTATTATCAATTAACCACAGGATTATTCTGAGTGTTTCGCTTTGATTTGCATGGTTTGATGATGTCTGTGTTTCAGGTGCTGCACACGGCCGAGGCCTTCCAGAAGATTCTCCGCGAGGAAGAGAAGAGGAGGAGGAAGGAGGAGAAGAGGAAAGAGATCCGGAAAGGGCCGCGGATCTCTCGCTCTCGCACCGAGTTATAGATCTGACTGAAGATCAGCCGTTTACACTCAATCAGGGAGCCTGTGCTGAATCTGCCACGGGCGTCGACGTTTACAGGCTTCAGAACGAGTCTCGGATTCGCAACGCTTGAATCGCTTCTGCTTTTAACTCTTGAGTGTGTGTTTAGTGCTGTATTGGATTAAGGGGGAGGAGTCAGGGTGGTGGGAGGAGTCATAGTGGGCGGGGCCACTCTAGTGTTTGCTGTTGGAGGGTTAAGAGTGGTGGGCGGGGATGGGAAAGTGGGCGTGGTCAAAGATGAAGGTATTTTGAACACTGATATTTCGATATTTAACAAACACTTGATAAGTTTTGATAATCTAAGATCGGAAATTTTTAAAGCTCCCACATATATGAAATTCAGTTGTTTAGATTCAATATAAATGCTTTATTTGGGGGTACTTTATAGTCTAATAAGAGAATTGTGGGTAATTAATGTCTTTCTGCTTTCTTTAGAAACTGTTATTCATTAAAACATGTGTATTGTCTGTGTGGAGTGTGCGCGCGTGTGAGAGCGAGTGATGATCTGACCTGAGATCAGAGCTGCACTGCCATGAGAGAAACTCTTTAATGACGGATCTGAATCAGACTGATATCAGTGTGAATGCGGTTCTAGTTCACTTCGGTTTCTCCAGCTGCTGAAGTGAGACGATCATCCGAGACACCTTCACAGAGGCTTTATCAGTCTGTTCACGTGACTGTTACTGAAATCTGTAGAGCATCAGTGGGAGATTGTTATTGACGGAATGAATAAAGTCTATTTAACACACTGCGAATGTTGAGTTATGTGTTTTTCGTGGGTTGTATTTTGAGTTTTAGCTCATGCATTTATGTAGATTTTTCTGTTCATTATAATCGTTTTTGCTCGAAGCTACAAATCAAGGATGTTTCGAAGAATTACCCAATGAAATTTGAAGAAAGTGAGCATCGGACACAGGAAAACACCATTGCAGCGGAGCGTAACGGAAGTGAAACTAAATATAAAGAACTTTGAGCAACAGCTCTGCTCCAGGTGAGTTTATATTCCTGCCACGATGGGGTTTATGCAAATATGTTTACATTATAAAACATTGCAAATATATAGTAGGATTTTTTTCCTGATGTGATTCGCACTTGTTTTCTAGGAAGCATTTTTATGGACTTGTGATCAGTCAGATACTGTTAAGATGGCATCGGGACCTGATATGAGAGATTCTGCATCGGGGAGAGTTTAGTTTGGAGCCTAAACTTTAGATGGGTTTGAATATTTAACTTTATTTCAATTGCAGTTAAAGATTGGATAAAGCTGCACACACAGTGAAGAGCTGCTTCATCGCTAACACACGAGAACAAACATTTGTCCATTTTGTTTCAGAATTGTAGGTAGGCCTATATCCACGTAAACCCATGCAATTTTCCCGTTTTATAAAGTAGCCTTTCCCGTTTCAGCGAATGAAATCAAACTGAATTGCAAATGTATTTTAATGTAATATGTCAAAAATTATTTTTATTTTCTTTTTAATGCTTCAAGTCGGATTGCTTCAACAGATTTTCATTGTATAAACATATGCAATGACAATAAAGACCTAACCTAAACACAGTTTCAACTTCAAGGTATTGTTGCAAACCTGTTTGACCGATTAGATCAATAGTGATTAATATGCGAATCTGACCTTTAATTCTGGAAATTTAGTTTAGTTGTTAACATATGAAATGGTTTTAAAAGCGCATGGCTCTATAGTTTCTTCGCTTTACAGGCCCTGTCCCAAATAGAACACTTCATGCACTTTCGGTCTTACGGACTTACAGCAGTAGCTTACCTGTCATGCGGTGCGTTCCAAGCGGGATATATCGCCCTCTGAAGGGCACTTCGGAGTGAAAACAATCATGGCCGCCATATTGAAGTGTCGTTCCAAACCGAAGTGCTCAAAACTGGCCACTTCAAAGGGCTCTTCGGAATGAAGGATTTCAAAGGGTACAACTGATGGACACTTCGGGCCCCCATGATCCTTTGTTGGAGCAAACCTTTAACCCACGGGGGAAAATCAACCCTTGGCAACAGTTTAAAAGCAGCCCAATTCCATGGAAAAAGCGCAGACTTGACAACCCTGCATGATCCAACAGGAGCTGCAGGAGTCAGATTTGACTGATGAGAGGAGAGATGACTGACAAGTGCATGCTGGAGGATTTGCTGCTCAACAGATCCTGAGCTCATTGACAAATATCTGATCTTCCTTTACACAGTGTGATCACATAAGTGAAAGTGAACAGCGAGCGCTCATTCAAAAGAGGTTTCAATACTCCGCATATTGATCGCAGTCCCTGATGCGCGAAAAATTATATGCAATATTATAATGTTTGCGGGAGCGGCCGGTAACGGTCAGAAATTCAGCGGGAGCGGGATCAAGAAAACAGTAGGGCTCTAATACAGAAATGCACACATTAATGAATGGTTTTGTAAACTGTACCTTCGGTTTTCATAATCCATGCGCAAGATTTCGCAATCCGCTCCCACGGGTTTGTAAACTGTACGGATTGATGCAACCAGGCCACCTGTTTAGTGCGGGATGCATTGTATTGTGTTTAAACTTTATTTTTCAAAATGGAGAATTTTCTAAAAAAACGATAAAGAGTTGGATGTCTCTGATTCTGTCAGCGTTTCGAGAGGAGAAGGTAAAAAACAATACAAAACAAATAATGTACAGGTATGTTGTAATTTCTTTGCTCTCTGGCTGAATGCAATTTTATAATAGGCCTAGTTATTTAATTCTGAACACAGGCCAGGAAGAGTCTGACTCATTCCCAGTGTTGCCAAGTCCGCGGTTTTCCAGAGGAATTGGGCTACTTTAACACTGTAGCCGCGGGTTGTTTTTCATGTCCACGGGTTGAAGCGACACCAATAATGCGATATTTAGCACCAGTGATGCTAATTTTACCCGGGATCCCTGCCAAAAAAAGTGTATTTTACCCCTCGGAACGCATTTTTTAACGGGGACCCCCATCAAAACGTGACTGGGCTAGTTTTGAGTAGTAATTGGGCGGGTTTTGTTGTGAAAACCTGGCAACCCTGCTCATTCCTGACACCTATTTAGCATTCGAGGATTGAAAGAAAGGTATATGGACAGGGACGGATTTAGGCCTACCTCTTTTCGTGACATAGGCAAAACACATTTTTGGGCCCCCCTTCCCTATTATTATAATAGGCCTGCGCTAATATTACCAGCCAAGCAAACAAAAATATTTCTTAATCAGTGGAAACGTTACAGTGTTTTCTATCAGTCAATAAAAATAGCTCTTAATTTGTTTGAGAACTCAGAAAGACAATTCCGTTAATAGGCGCGGCGTATATCACTTCGAGAGTTATTGCTCTAATAATTTTAACGGCCAGGAGTCACAACCACACCATAAGACATTGTTCAGATGATTTGTTTCAAGACATTTGACATGTTCCCGTCCTGAAATGTGTTGAACTATTTTTTTACGCACCTCATCTCAAACCTTCCGTTGCAAATTCAAAAACGTCATTTTAGAGCTAATAATAGAGGCTTGAGCCATTGATATGCAGGCTTACACAGTTAATAATGCAGTCTAATGCGGTTATTAGAGAGAGAGAGAGAGAGAGAGAGAGATTAAGTGTGTGTGAATACCTGCATCTGTGCGTCTCTCAGCAGTGTTCAGCAGCAGTGTCTACTAATAGCGAATCTATAAGTTAAACTGCTTCAAGAACCGCGCTACTGAGAAATGTCATGTAGCCTTTCAGTTACAGTTATTTTATTGATAAATTTGCGGGGTGGCGTTGACGACAAGTTTCTGTCCGATGTGTGTGTGGTCTGTGGGAGAGAACCGGAAAAAGCTGATTTCCGTACATATCCCCCCCCCCTATATGGAAACAGAAGAGAAGATACTGTTATAACCAGGATCATCTAACCTTAATTATTAATTGCTTATAATAGGAAAAAGAGAGTCAGATTGCTGCAATTACTGTCATAACAGAAACAGTTGAACATGTGCTCTTGCAATGTAAGGCATATAGTCAAAGAAAGCAGCTTGTTGAAAAACTATATGGAAATCAATGACATTTCTGTTAAGAATATATTTCAGAATGCACAGAAACACGTAAGGGTTTGTGATTTTCTTCTAAAATATTTGAGAGATACAGATTTGATTAGAATAATTTAGTTTTTTTGTATATAATATTTTCATTCATAGAGGCCTCACGCTCCATCCCAGTAGGTGGCAGAAATTCACCTTAAGCTGGTTTGCCAACATTAAACACAAAAGAAGAAGAAGAAGAAGAAGACTCATTCCTCTCTTCTGTCAGACTGGCTCTCAATGTCTCGACAAAGGCTCACCAGAATCTGGGATCTGTGATGCATAAAGAAAAATGCTTTCAAGAAGGGTTTTTGAGCAGTTTGTTGCTGAACAAACAGCAGATCTTTGTGATCCATTTTTGAAAGCAAAGTGAAAGTAAAGCTCAACAACAGTGAAAATGGCTTCAACAGCTGAATATGATTATATGTGTCCTGTATGTCACGAGATCTTCAATACTCCTGTTATTTTATCATGCAGTCACAGTTTCTGTAAAGAGTGTCTTCAGCAGTTCTGGACAACCAAGGGAACTCAGGAGTGTCCTGTCTGCAGGAAATCTTCAAGACATCAACCTCTAGTTAATCTTGCATTAAAAAACTTGTGTGAGTCGTTCTTAAAGAAGAGAAATGAGAGGCGTTCATCAGGATCTGAGGAGCTCTGCAGTTTACACAGAGAGAAACTAAAACTCTTCTGTCTGGAGGACAAACAGCCGGTGTGTTTAGTGTGCTTTACTTCACAGCAACATGACAATCATAAATTCAGACCCCTCAGTGAAGTGGTTTCATCACAAAAGGTAAGACAGATTTATATCTGATGATTAAAGCTGCATGCATATATTTCTTACTACCATTTTGCTCATATTATGTGAACATATTACAGAAATATCTGGTGTCTTATATTTTTTTCACTTTAAACTCTAGGAGGAGCTCAATACAGCACTGAAGTCCTTACAGGAGAAACTGAAACACAAAGAAAACATTAAGGGAGAGTTTGAGAAAACACTTCAACACATCAACGTGAGGATTGGTATTTATACATTTGATCAGAACAGATGCATTGTTTTGTCTGACATAATTACATGTTCCTGTATTGACCGTTTACTCCTTGAAGTTTATGAAATTATCTATAAGACATATGCATTCAAAAATCTTTTTATTCTCGGAATAGAAAAAGTAAAAAAAATATATTGATGACGTCTCTGAATTTTTGATCAATCAGATATTCTCTAGAATCAGAACATCCTTTGACATGCTCCCCTCACTTTTTTAAGGAGGTTTTAAAAATGTAACGCATAAACAAAGCCTCCGAGTGCTGGTTGCTTCGATAGTGCTTCAGAAAGTTAAAGTTGTAGTTAACTAACCCACATTTACCCACTCGCTCTTCATGCTGCTCCAGAATCAGTCCCGTCTTTGAGACGATTGAAGTGAATGTGGTTTGATTTCAGTCTCAAGCTGAGCACACAGAGCGTCAGATTAAACAGCAGTTTGAGACGCTTCATCAGTTTCTCAGAGATGAAGAAGAAGCTACAATCACTGCACTGAGGGAGGAAGAGGAGCAGAAGAAGCAGATGATGAAGGAGAAGCTGGAGGAGATGAACAGACACATCTCAGCTCTTTCACACACAATCAGAGACACGGAGGAGATGATGAGAGCCAGTGACGTCTGCTTTCTGAAGGTCTGATTTCAGATCATTGATTGATTGATCGACTGATTGAGTTGTTGATGATAAACTGTGTGTTTGTTCTGCAGGAGTTTCCAGACTCAATGGAAAGGTGAGTGATCTGCTGCTGTCTCTGCTCTCTCTGCTTCTGATCCAAAGCCACTGCAGTTCTGATCCTGAATGTTCTTCCAGAGTCCAGATCTCATCACAGCCGGATCCACAGACTCCTTCTGGAGCTTTGACTTATGTGCCGCGTTACTTGGGCAACCTGAGCTTTAGAGTCTGGAAGAAGATGCAGGACATGGTCCAGAACAGTGAGTCTGACTGCAGAAGATCTAAACATTAGTCTTGAATTAGTTGGCCCGTGCATTTTATCTTTTGCACTTCATAAAATGCAATGGAAGTTTCTGTTAAGGCAACATAGTGAGCATCAGTACTCCCTAGGTTTTGTGGGATTTTTGTAGGGAGCGATAATTGCATTGCGCATGTAACGAGTTATAATAACAGCGGTCAGCAACTGACCGGTTACACGCACAATGGATATTGTGATTGAGACAGCTCTTAAAATGGTTGACTCCCTGATCAATGCTTGAAATAGTGATCTAGGAAGCTGATCAAGACACCCATAGAATGGAAGCTTAAGTAAGATTTAAAGGGATAGTTCACCCAAAAATGAAAATGTGATGTTTATCTGCCTACCCCCAGGGCATCCAAGATGTAGGTGACTTTGTTTCTTCAGTAGAACACATATGATGATTTTTAACGTTAACCGTTGCAGTCTATCAGTCTTGGTAGTGATAATGCCAGTCAATGGGCTCCACAGCTTCGAGAGTAAAAAAAAAACATACACAGACAAAACCAAATTAAACCTTGCGGCTCGTGACGATACATTGAGGTCTTAAGACACGAAACGATCGGTCTGTGCAAGTATTTATATCATTTTTTACCTCTGATCCACCGCAGTGTCCAACTGTCCTGAGCGTGTTCACAACATCTGGAGCGTGACGTCAAATAAATACGGTCGGGCAAAAAAACGTTCCACATTGTCTGATGATATATCAAAATCGTCTTCCATTGTGATGACCTGTACTTCTAAATATCTTTAGATCATCGCAGTGCCAGTGAACACGTCCACAATCTCTCTGCCCTGTGTAAATAATTAGTAACGTATACGCACGACAGATCGCTTCCGCACATGCGTCTACTATCATAGATATGTATAGATGCCCTATT